GCAGAGCACCTACCCCCACCTTCAGGCCCAGGGATACTAACAGCCACCCCCAGTCTCAATCTCAAACCCTGGGGGTGGAGCCAGCAGGACACGCGGGGATCAAACCCTGATCCCTATATCAGGCAGCCACTGAGTTATCTGGCCTACCCATTACAAATTTTTTTTTTTTTTAATTTCCATTTAGCTTTTTATTTTGTTGCACAGTGCCTGTCATGGAGGACCTTCACTCTAGGATCCTTAAGGACGCAAGGTGGGGACAGGCTTCTGTGTCCTGAAGAACATGTTTTTTTCTGTGAGGCACCTCCTGCTCCCTCTGCTCTACAGCCCTCCAGCCGCTGGAGAACACTTTAACAGCTGCACTTCTGACCTAGTGAGCCAACAAGAAACACAGAGGCACATCTCATGGGGAGGGCTCTTCCTATAGAAGCAGCTGGTAACTGTCACTGGGGCAGACAAAGACTGGAAGGAAGGAAGGAAGGAAGGAAGGAAGAAAGAAAGGAGGGTAGGAGGGTAGAAAGGAAGGAAGGAAGCGAGCAAGCAAGCAAGGAGGAAGAGCTTTTAGACATTCAAATGTACCTTTGCAAAACTGAAAAACATGGTTTTTAAACTGAAAATATCAATAAGTGAATGAAAGCAGAACCTGTCTCAGTGACTCAGGTAAGAAGGATAAAAGCATGTGGGAGTAACTCAGGATGCAGAGCCGAAGTACAGAGATGGAACCAGGTGAGAAAGGGGGAGGCTGGAGGGTGTGAGGAAGCCTACTGCGCTTGTACCAGGAATTTCAGAAGTAAAACGAAGAAAGAAGCATTTAACATTAAATTGGCTTGGGCTGGGGAGATAGGCCGGTCTAAGCGCCTGCCTAGCAAGCACAGGGACCCAGGTTTGATCCCTGGTACTGCACGCCGAGGGCGCAGTGATGCACGCCTGTAATCCCAGTGCTGGGGAGGCTGAAACAGGAGGATCACTACGAGTCTGAGCGGCATAGAGAACCCCTGTACTAAATAAATAAGCAAATAAATAAATGATTTAATAAAGTTAAATTGGCTAACCATTTGAAACAACAATGACTAAATAGATAATGGAAAAAAAGAGTGCCTGGCTCAGGAAATAATAATAATAATAATAAATAACAAATAATAATTATATGCTCCATATAATTATTACAGCTGTAGCTATTATTTCCATAGCAGCAACTAACACATATTTTCTATACGTTTTATAGTGCTAGTTCACTTAGTCATGATATAAAACTAGGAAATACTATTTTGATCTTGAAATGAGAAACTGCGGCACAGACTTGTTACATATCTTGCCCAAACCTTCCCTGCCAGTAAAGACTGGAGCTGTGGTTAGAAGTAGCCAGACTCAGGAAGCTGTGGGCTGAACAGAAAAGATACATATATATGGAGGTTCTGGTAATATTCGTGATTAAGATTAAGATTAAGATTAAGATTAAGGGGCCAACTCCTCCCACCTTCCAAGCAGGAAGAACAGAGAGGAACAGAGAAATCACACAGCCCTGGCCCACTCATCTCAATAGCATCAGCCAAAGGACAATGGTGGCCCTGCGTCTCCAGGTGGAGGGGCTGCATCTCCGGGCTCTTCTACCCAGGCAGACAGAATCTCCCAGGAGGAAAGGGAGAAAGGCACAGAGAGAAAGAATCCAGACAGTGTCCTCTTCAAATACCCCTTGTGAGCAAACACCCCAGAGGAGACGACGCCAGAAATCAAGTCAGGAGGAGGCCGCAGATGCGGAAAGGCCGAAGCGAAGAGCCCGGATGACAAGGAGCAAAGTATCTTGCAATGCATTGTTGTATGTGCCGCAAACATTCTATTTTAGTGACAGAGGATGAGCTGTGTAATGTAACCACCACCTACGAATTGGTGAAAAAGAAGGGCCAATTTTAAGGGAAGCTCTGATACATAATAGGTAACTTCCTTGCATTTAGTAGTTGGGGTTTCAGAGAAGAAGGGATTGGAGTGTTTCAACCATCTCCCTGTAGGGAGTAAAGAGAAAAGACCTGGCGGGAAGCCTCACCTCACCTGGAGAGGGGGAAAGTGAGGAAAGCGGGTGTTCTGGTGGTCACACAAGCAAATGTACCTTTGTAGAAAAAATAGTTAATGTCCTGCTTTACAGTAAAAGCCTACAGTTTCTCCTACTTTATGGCTTTATATAGTACTTGATTGTATAGAAACCCATCTTTTTTATCCATTCCTTCATTTGGGTTGTTCCCACGACTTAGCTATTATAAGCTGTGCCGCTCTAAACAAGGATGCATGTGTATTGTTATGGTATGGTGTTTTTAATTCTGGGAAAATACCCAGAAGGGAAATAACTGGGTCAAACAGGAGCTCCAATCCTAGTTTTTGGAGGAAGCCCCACAGTGATTTCCACAGTGGCTGTACCAGTCTACACTCCCACCAACACTGGAGAAGCGTCCCTTTTTCCCAATAGCCCTGCCAGCATTTGTTATCATTTGATTTCTTGATGACAGCCATTAAATGTAGCTAACTTTTAACAGTTTTTTTGTGGCCAGAAAACTTACTCTCAGAAGTTTAGTCATACATAAAAACATGACTTTACAAGTTTTTAAATATAATTGCAACACCAAACAAAAGAAAGCAAGCAATAAAGGTGTTCATGAGTAAGACATTGAATAAATTAATTATGAAGAGCTTTGCTATTACAAGAGTAAAAATATTTGCTTTACCTTAATTTCAGCAAGAGATGCCATTGCCCATGCTATGGTAGACCGCAGTCCAGCTGTTCTAATGTAACTTCTGCTTGCTAAAGGGACCCTATAAACAAAAGACATGATGGCATCTCAAATGTTATGAGATCCGAGAATAATTCGGACAAACTCATTTGACACATACTAAAGTAGTTTCTAATTTAGGGAATATTTTAACCTTATTGCAAAATACTTTCTCCAATGGGCACTTGGTCTAGCCAGCCAGTGTTGGGTTTCAGAAAGGTCAGTTTTTTAGATAACTGAAATTTAAACTCTCCCATGAGGAGGATCGCTGCGAGTTCAAGGCCAGCTAAGCTACACAGTAAGTTCATGGCAAGCCAGAAATACCCAGCGAGACCTTGTCTCAAAAAGACCTAGAAAAATAAAAATTAACCATCAATATGAGACTAGTCTTTCTTACTTAATCCTTGCTACACAGACTAGACCTTCTCCTGCTGCCCAGAGCTAATGAAAGGAACATGTCACATTGTGACCTAGAGTAGCATGACCAGGACAGCTGAGCGGATGTGACCCTCCAATCTGCTCCCTGGTGAGCAACTCCTCCTGCTGGCTGCGGGTGGCATGCAGCTGTATTCCCAGCACTCTCGAGGCTGAGGCAGGAGGATTCCAAGTTGAGTCAAGCTCAGGCAACTTACTGATTTAGCAGATTAATTTCTTTAGCTATTCATCATTTTGGAGTACAGTATTAAAAAAAGTTCAGGGTGCTGGGGAATGTACCTCACCCCCAGAGGTCCTGCTTCGCACGTACGGAGGCCTAGGTTTCACCCCAGCACTGCCTGCTGTTTAACTATTTTTTGAGTTCTTTAAAAAGAATATTTCGTATGTTGCTTATTTTGCCAGTCTTTTGCTACATTTGTTTTGGTGACTGTCAATAATTATACTGATTTCAATGGGCTTATTTCTTATTCCTGCCTTTCCTTTGTGTTTGCTATCTTATAAAGCCAAAATACTTAAATTAAAATCCATCAATTTTATGAATCGTTTACAGGGTTAAGGCCCATGGTCCCAAAGGTATCGGCTTAGGTCAGCCTAGGAATGAAACAGGAGAGCAGGCTAGGTTTGGTCTGTAAGGTACTGGGGCAGGTGGCGGCCAAGAGAGCCAACAGGGCACCGGGACAGATGGCAGCCCCAGGCGTGCTGGTCCTGCTGGTGGAGCTGCTCGGAGCCGCCGTGCGACCCCAGAGCGACAGCTCCGTCATGCAGCGTTCTTGGACTTCTATGAGGTTCTCAGCATCAAGACTCAACTCTAGAGCTCACCACTCAGGAGAAGGCATTATAATAATTGCAAGCATTTTTCTAAAAATCACAATTTAAGACTGCTGACGTATAAATAGGAACTTCAGGCAAATGCTGCAGCATAGGACTTTCTTGATCTCTGAAACATCCCTTTGCCTAAATTCACCTGGAAAAGGGGGAAGTTGCTTTGTCATGTAAGCAGAATTATGAATATGAAATATTTTTAAGACACCATTAATATTTCTATCTCCCAAGAAGCTGCAAATCACTATTTTGATTCAACCAGCTCCTTCTTTCTAATGCACCTACTAAGGGTATCTGTTATGCTGTATAAGCTTGAGACATTTTTAAAAAGAAATAAATCATTTGCACATATTATTGGTAGTGATCTGCATGACTAGGGAGATACCTGTTGTTTTTTTTTTTTTTTTCTCTTCAGTTTTGGGGATCAAACCTGGGACCTTGTGCTTGGTAGGCAGGCACCTATGCCAATGAGTTACCTCCCTAGCCCTGAAAATGTCTTATGCTCAATTTTTTTTTTTTTTAGTACTGGGGATTGAACTGAGGGCTCTGCACTTGCCAGTCAGGTGCGTATGCCACTGAACTATTCCCTAGGCCCAACATCTGAAGAAGATGTTAAGAACCAGTGATGACCTCTCACAATAGAAGAAAAATGACAATCAAATCTGGAGTATGTTCAAACTTCAGCTTAAACATGGGCCTTTGGAAATCATTTCATAATACAGAAATACTTAGATATAATTTTCAGGGTTAATCATGTTATCAGCGGATGAGCAGGGACAAGGCTTTTACAGCTCCATAAACTCTTAAGGGACAAACTCACAGGTTCAAATACAGTAGTTACCTCAACATAGGAATCCCTGCTACAGTGTAGGCGTCATTTAGATGTACAAAGACCTGAAAAAACAAGAAAGTCAGAATGGAATGAGAAACGGCACTACCAAATTATTAACAAATTAAACTTTTACTTTGAACTTATATGACCTATATTTTAGTAATAAATTCTAGCCCTATTTGTCTTATCTAGAGAACTGTTCCATATCTGTTTTTTTAAACAGAGGTAAGTTAAATTTTAAGTATATTTTATACACAAAGTCTGAGGTGAAATTCTTATATAAGTTATATGGTGAATTACATGGCACAGAACTCAAGATCTTTTTTCTCAGAGATTCTTTATTTCTAGTGTGTTTAGTACAGGGTCTACAGGGTCTCATTACATAGATGGGACTTGTAGTGATCCTCCTGTTTTCAGCCTCCCAAGCGCTGGGATTACAGGCATGTGCCACGATGCCCAGTCTCATTCACTGTCTCAGCGTGCCCTGGGGGCAGGGCTGGCGCAGCACTGTGGGGATCGAACCCTAGGTCCTGTGTCTGCTTAAGCAAGTGCTTTAATCAGCTGAGCTATTTGGCAGGCCACCTCAGAGGGTCTATAAATTATCATACGTAGATCAGACTTCTCAGCATTTTTGTTTACAAAAAAATACATCCCAATTTAAACCCCAAGTAATATTGAAGGTCACACAAGACTGTGGTAGGCTACAAATATCTTCATGGTAACAGAAAATATTTTTAAGGTCAAATACATGGTAGGAAGCATACCCTTTTCTTTTTCAACTAACCATTTCTGCCTTGATTTCATTTCTACTCTTAGAAATGCAGAGAATTTATATGCTTCACGTTATTAGTAGCACCCATGAATTTTAAAAGGTAAAATCTTTCTCACACTTGTAGTACAAGGCTTAGAGAATATTCCAACTGCCACCCTGAACCATAACATTTGATTCCCAACTTTATACCAAAGGTTTTGTTTTGTTTTATTTGTGGTATTGGGGACTGAATATAGGGCCTCACACTTGCTAAAGAAGCTCTCTACTACTGAGATATACTGCCACACCCCAAGGTGTTTTTTAATATAAGCAGTTTAATCAGAATATTTTAAAATTGATACATTTTCATAAAAATTATCTGAGGGGACTCCATTTAAGACATGTAATTCCTTGATTAAACATCACAGCTAAAGTATTTTATATTAGAAGTCATCTAATATAATTATCTAATTTTAGATTAGAAATTATCTAATTTCCTAAATATTTTATGAAAATATTTATTAAGGTTGTTTCTATTTATAATTTATATTAAAGATAGGGTTTATTGACCTTGCTTTTACATAGTGAATGCCATCATAGCTTCTCTCAATATAAATTTTTTCCCATCACAAGATCTGATTCTATCAATTCTATCAATTTTTTGTGACAAATTTTATTGTGATCAGTTTTGTTTTACAGGATTATTTCTACCAATTATAGCTATTAATTGTGTTAAATGGCTGGTAGGAACTAAATTTGTTATTATTTATGAGCTGATCTGTGAGAAATTTGTTGCTCTAAGCGCGAGATGGAAGGTGGATAAGGAAATCAGAAGATGAGAGATCTGGGAAGTTGGAGATGAGAGAAACACTAACATCAAAAATAATCGGAGGTCATAATATTTTGCATGATAAGTTGCATTGTATATTAGCTATTACTTTTTTAAAAGGAAAAATATAAAAAAGTAAAATAAAATAACACAACACGAAGTATTCCGATTTATTTGGTTGATCAATAGGTCCATGTAATTCATGTAAGGTGATATAGCAAAGAACAAATTATGAACTAGTAGAATCATAAAAATGACTATAAATTTTATAAAATGGCTTTCAAAATAAAGTGAAAAATAGTTTTGTGTCCCTGTGGATTGCTTATTACCATGAAAAGACAGACATAATCCCATAACCTTAAGAAAGCCACTATTAACAATACCAACTGGATTTGGTGCCATAACTCATTTTCTTCAAATACTAGCTGGAAATTCTTCTTAAAGAAACTTATTCAGTGGGACAGAGATTGTGAGAGAATCAATGAAGCCTACCTTACAATCAATGTTTGCTTTTCTTCAATTTTGACCAAATGACTCCATCCCAAGGTGTGTGTGCGCGCATGTGTGTGTGTGTGCATACACGCTTAGATTAGACATTTTCCAAGTGAAAACCACTAGCAAAATTATCTGCAGTCCCACTATAAAAGGGAAAATAGCCTAATCCATGTGGTGTGACTTTTACAACTGGAAAGTAAGTTGAAAGTATAATAAAAATAGCTGTCACTGTCTTTAAAAAATTAGGTTACATCTATTCAAATTAGGACAAATATTCATTACCTCTAAATCTGGATTCCTCAAATCTGCTCTCCACCCAAATTGCTTCATAAGGGCTATTCCAATGACTCGTCCCACTTCCTGAAGGAGCCATGTCAGGGAAAACAATACATTAAAAATAAACAGTTTAACCTTAAGCAAAAAAGGACAGCTCTGTTGAAAACTGAGTTCAATTATCTGATGGTAATTTAGCATTTCAGCATTAAAGCATTGCTCAACTGCTTCACACTGAGGTGGCATTTTACCTGCTTCACTCGCCAGCTTTATCCCGTGGTATTGATGGCTACTCATGTAATTCTACTGCAATTCTAGGTATATGAATTCAGATAAAAGGTCAGATCATGACCTGATAAATGTGGTCACTGTAAACTATAGGAAATGAAGATAAGTGAAAATAGGAACCACTTTAGCTATTGCAATTCTCTGTCTGGAAGTCTCCAGATTGGTATATTTAGACTCAACCTTCAGTGTGTATTTACCAGCCTTAGAAGGTTGGCTGCAGGACCCAGAGCAGCCCTGTGTAGCACTGGATGCTCTCATGCCCAACCCCAATATCTACTGACAGCAAGCCCAATATCTGTTCTTCCTTATGTGTATTTCTAGTCTTAGTACCAGTTTCAACCTTCCACAGAGTACCTGGGACAGAGTAAACACTCTTAGTACTTATACAACAGGACAGAATTCCCCAAAAGCTTAGGTTCATGATATCAGGATGTCCAAATGCACAGTACATCTATGAATTCTAGGAAACTTTTTTTTTCTTTTTTTTGAGGAAGGTGGGCTGAAACAGGGTCTTGCCATATATGGAGTTCAGGCTGGCCTTGAATTTGTAGAGATCCTCCTGCCTCAGCCTCACTAGTGCTGGAATTACGGGTGTGCACCACCATGCCCAGTCCTTAAGGAAACTTTCAGACAGAAGGTAAAAGGAGGTTATTACATGGATTGGTATACCTTCCTTTCAAGCATCTGAGGTTAAGGCAAGCCAACTGCATTTTTAAAAGAAATGTAATCATCTGAAGTTAGGCCAAATTATCCATCTGGGCCAGCTTGTTACTTCTGTGAGAGTTCTGCAACTCATTTTAGGTCTACAGAGTAATTCTTTTAGACAACAGGAGCCTACTTGGGGAGGCAGGCACACCTGTGCAGTAAAGACCTTTCCGAGGGTCCCGCTGCAGCGACAAGAAACCCTGAAGGTCAGGTCCTTCTGGCTATGGCGATCAGCTGCCTTCTCTGCCTCCGGTCGAGCATCTTCTTCTTCAAGTTTCACTCTCCCAGTGGTAGAATCTCTTTTCTCCATTGTGTCTCCTTCCGCTTGTGCCTCTCCCTGGCCTTCCCTGTGGCTGTCTTCAATCTTCTGCATTTCTTCCATTTTTAACTTCTTAGCAATGATGCTTTCGTGCTTTCCCACTGTTCTTTTCAGTGGGTTAGCAGCCCTCGGAGGGAGCTCTTCCCCATTTACATCAAGTTCAAGCAGATTTCTCCAAGCTGAGATGGCATCCACCCAACTTCCAGGATCCCCGTTTACAAGTTGCTGCACTTCCTTAAGTATTTTTCCTAAACAAATAAAATCGCAGATTATCCTATCTTGAAGCTTTTAAATGATATATTATCTCTCCCTACAAATGCCCTTACCATGTTTGAAACATAAATTCTGTTGATCTTCTACATAAATGAAACTTCACTTTCACTTGGGAACCTCTATGATTTTTCATAGGAATACTGTATAGAATGAAGTTCATTCCTTTATTTAATTAATTTACTTATTTATTTTGGCAGAACCAGGGATTGAACTCAGGCCCTTGCACTTGCCAGGCAAGCACTTATCCTACTGAGCTATCTCCCCAGCCCCTATTCCTGTCTTTTATACACAGCATCAAATTGTCTTAAAATTCCTACAGGATTACTAGCTAACTCTTTAATAAACCATTTTCCTTATGATAATGTATGCCTCTTAACATATGTGCAGACCTTGAATATATATTGATTTTAAAATAATGATGCTCTTGTCTATAAAAAATTAATGTTAAAAAAGAATAAATTATAAAATGAGGCTCAGAAATAGAGAAGCTGACTCGGGCCTATTTCACTTTGGACCACACATAATATTAGCATAAATCTTAAGTTGCCGTAGAGTAAAACTTCCAATAAATAACCCATTTATGACTTGGGGACTACCAGCATTCTCAGTACAATTTCATTTTTCTTGATGATCAAGGGTCATCAAAATGATCCAAAAGTAATTACTGCAGTTCCCTAAAGATGAGGTATATGAAATATTGGGATGAAGTTTTATTGACCCCACAGTGTACTGAGCAGGCTGGTCGTCCTGAAGTCATACATGGATTATTTATTATCATCTTTCTTCATTTTAATCAAGATCCTTAAATCATTTTCAGACTATGTATAAAGTTAGGATGTGGATAAGAAATATCTTAGGTCCTTTTTTATTAATGAATAGGAGTTTATTAAAAACAATTAAGGTCTAGAATTAGGGTATTTTACCATACAGTATTTTATAATTATATCATTCAGTTAAACATTATGCAGTGATAGGTTTCTTTTTAACCAATTTATTGTTAAAATAATGCATTTTTGGTCATTACATACTTCTGAATACAGCTAAATGAAAGTGACCAAATTTATCTCTGGAGACACTGCCAGGTCATAATTCATAAAGATGATCTAGGACACTGAAATCTCAGAAGGCAGGTAGGTCATAAAAAAGAGACAGATTCTACAGCAATTACATGGAAGTCAGGAAATACAGAAAGATACATAACTAATGATGCCACACGTACGAATGCATCATAAAAATGTGAAATGGATACCATGCAATTATCCTGAAAACTCAGAATACAATATATCATGTGGGTATAAAACAACAGGAATATACCATACCTTTACGTAGCGAAGATGCAGTAAATGGAAACTGCTTTTTAATCAGCAAAAATAATCTTTCAGCAGATTTTAAGTTTTTCAGCATATTCAAATCGGAACAGGTAGTGAAAAAAACCTTCCCTGAAATATATTCAACCTAGAGACAGACAGTAATGTAATCCAGCGTTAGAATAAGAACCATTTTCTTCTCCTTTAATAGATTAAGCCATATCCTCTAGATCTGTGATGACAAACCTTTTAGAGCTTTCAATGATACAAACAAGCTGCTATAACACATGGGCCATAGGTCTGCCACCACTGTTCTAGACTAACAATAAAAGATGACCATTTCTATGTGAAGCATCTATTATTTGTTAGGGACCTACACTAGATACTCCAAATATGTGCCCCATCCTTAACTGCAATCCATGAAGGCAGATTTTATTACACCCATTTTACATAGCAGGAAACTGAAGTTTAGGTTAGTTTAATTTGCATAAGATTACACAGTGACCAAGATCGTAGTCTCTCCGTGTGATTCTACATTATGTAAAGTATATATACATATACTGTTAGAAAACAAAACACAAAATACTGAGCAATTATATCACTAAACTTCATGCACAATTTAAAAGTGGACAAAAGAAAGGTATAATGCATAGCACAAGTGAGGACAGGTGAGGTTTCTAGCCCACACTAGATATGTATTAACCATCTGCCAGTGGTCTACCAGAAGGCCTAAATAATGGGACACACATATAAATTAAGATGCAAAATTAGTAAGACAATATCATGAATTAATCTAGAAAAAAACCCCCAAAATTCTGATATTATAATGGACCAATATGCCATAGATAGCATACATCTGGAAGCTACTGCGTACGGAAGCCACCATTACTCAGATCTTGGGGAAGAATCCTGCAGGACTTGGGAAGACAGATTCAAACAGAAGAACCAGTGGCAGATGTGGGAGAGAACATCTGGCTGATATAAACTCAAGTTTGCTGGGCCATGACGCATCAATCAAGCTGCATCATGTTGATTGACTGCGTGGGGTGGACGGGTGCCACAGCTGAGGCCAGCCTGGTATACGGTCACGACATTTTGAGGACCACAGACGGTAATGGTCAGCATTGTAGAATTCTGATGAAATCTGTGATGGCACTGCATTAGCTAGCAGAAAAAAATTACTTTGGAAGAGGCATAAAAGACTGAGCACAGCATGGGCTGCTGGAGGGAGAAGCAGGTTACTAAAGAAGGAACGATGAGCCTCTCATCTTAGGAACTGGAAAATGGGTAGAAGCCAGGACAGATGCATCCAAGAAACTGGCTCTAAAGACAAAGCATGTGGTGAAGGCAAAGAAGACAGGAAAAGCCAGGAACACTGACTGTAGGGAGCCCAGTGCATGTGGTAAACGTGCGCTCCACCGATGGGAGCCCTAAATCTTAAAAGCCTACCCAGCTTGCTTAAGTTCAGGATGGATGTAGTTTGTCTCGACACTCTCCTTTTAGTAGAGGCCGTGGGCTGCTGAACGTGGCTCTAAATTATTTCCCAGAACTAATAAGGTATCAGGGAATGTGGGATATCCCAGTATCAAAACCAAAAAATAAGCCTTAACTAAAAAACAAAGAAGACAAACAACAACAACAAAAGAAGTCAAAAGAAGCCTGTCTACAGTGTGTCATCTCGAAAGGCGGCAGAAACTTCAAGAGGGCTGGCCAGCGAGAGATGACTGGGTAGGTCATGGGCACTCTTGGAAGGGATTAACAGTGGCCTCAGGGAGCGGGCTGTATCTCATGGCAGAGTACTTCCCAGAAGAGGATGTTTTAGAAGAGCGAGTGTCGCCCTCTCCCTTGCCCTATCTTTCTCATTTGCATATACACTTGTCCCTTCTACCTGGCTGGTTCCCTCTCTGCTTCTTGGCCATGCTGTGATGCAGACAGGGTGGCCCTTGGCAGGCACAGTGAACACACTCTTTCAACTTGGCAGCTACCTGAACAGAGAGCCAGATAAACCTCTTTTCTTTATATACTGCCCAGTGTCAGGCATTCTATTACAGCAAAAAGAAATAGGCTAAGATACTGTGCATTTATATAGTTGCAATTTGGAGAACGTGAATTCCAAAAGGTTTGTTTTGATTTGAATCTGATATGGTCTAATTGAAATGGTAATTTCTGGGGTTGCTATTCTAGGTGGATGAAAGAGACTTCTCTGCTGAGGAAGCCCGAGGCTGACATCAATCGAAACCCAGCAACGGGTATTAGTAGTGCAGAAGATCAAGGCAGATGGCGGAACAGATGATGACGTTTGGGGGAAAATGGGGAATGACAGTTTGGAAATCAGTACTTAAGGGGACAGTGAGTAACCCACCCAAGAAGTGGGTCTTTGCATTTCGTTCTCATTACATAGGTGACCTTTTCTAAATTAAATGTGTCTCTCAAAATGTTCAGATTTTGTTACCTGACATAAGAATATAGTTGATATAACAATCACAAAGCAATTTAATAGGCCTACAATACCTTGCCAAGGTTCTGGGGATGTTAAACTAAAATTTTATTGAAACTGTATGGCTTAGGGGCTGGAGAGATGGCTCAGTGGTCTAAAGCACCTACTTAGAACAAGCTTAGCAAAAGCATCAGGGACTGCGGTTCAATCCCCCAGCACCACATGCCAGCCACCCCGCCCCCTGGTGGGCTGAGCTGGCCTCTCTCTCTCTCTCTCTCTCTCTCTCTCTCTCTCTCTCAAATAAATAAATAAATAAAATTAAAAAAAAAAAGAATACATACTAGAAAATATTTAAAAAAAAAAAAAAAAAAAAAAAAACTGTATGGCTTTAATATTCGACACTAAAAACAAGTATACTGAGCCGGGGACATGGCTCAATGGAATAAGCGCTTCCCTGGCAAGCGCAAGGGCCTGAGTTCAGTCCCCAGTTCCACCAAACAAAACAAAACAAAACATAAAAACAAGTATACTGCTGCAAGCAGGTTCTAGGCCAATGATTTTATCTAGTAGTCAGTGATCAAGACAAATGATTTGTAATTCCTTACTTCTATAAAGATTTTGTTTTTATATAATCATTAAACAAAACCATAAATTTTCTCTAAAAATGCTCTTTAAAAAAATATTTCTACAAAGAACATGCTTATGACTTAAGCAAACCTAAAGAGTTTAATGTATTTGAGATTTTAAATTATAATTACAGTATGCGTGGATTCCCTAAAATACCAAATGCAGTCTCAAACCAAATTTAGCAACATGATTCTCTTTGCAAATTAACACAGGCCTACATCCTTTTTAGAAGTAATAAGCACATAATCTGAAGTAGTTTACTAAATTGTAAGACAGTCATTGTGAGAATCACATAATCGCAGAGATAACACACAAGGATTACACTCTGTTGAGACTGAATTACATCAGAAAGAAGCAGGGAGACTGAATTTTGGAGACAGTTCTGTCGGCTGCTAGCGCTATACATCCTCTTTTTCCCAGTGTATTGCTTATAACTGATCATATTCAGTTACAGTTCTTAGGGAGAAATATAGCATTTGAAAATATTTTAATATTTATTACTTGAAAATTTATTTATATAAATTGTTTCCACTTGGAATTTAATTATAATCAAGTGTCTAAAACCAGCTATTTCTATGCCTATTAAAACAACATTTTTATAGTCTCGCTATGCAGCTTAGACTCAGTGATTCTCCTGTCTCACCCTTCCCAGTGCTGGGATTACAGGCATGAGCCATCATGCCTGGTTTCCAGAGTGGCATGGTGTACCAGCATTCTGCGGCTGGCATGGCCTGCAGTACCAAGGACTGAACTTGGGGCCTTGTGCTTACCAGGCAGGCACTTACATCTCTGAGCTATCTCCCCAACCCTGTTTTGGTTTTATTATGGTGCTGGGGATAGAAGTGGGCCTCGGACATCCGAAGCAACTATGCCTAAGACTTTTGAAGATGAAATAAGAGCTCTAGTAGTTGTCAGCATATCTAAGCAGTTAGCATTTTTTCCCTTTCCTTTAAAAATTCAAGGACTCAAGTTAAACCCAAAGGTTAAAAGTTTAAATCTAGGCAAAAACATACAATATTACTAGGAAACGCCAAAACTCTTCTAATCCCATGGATGTCCTTTAGTTTGGGAGCAAATTTTAGAGTACCAAGTGATGTGTTAATGTGGTGTTGTTTTTGGTTCATTCTAGAAGACTTGGTTCAATTGAAAAGTATGTTTCATTTGATTTTCCAAAAGGCACTCAACCTGAAGGGAATACAGCGACTCTTAAAAAAGGCAACTGTAGCATTATCTCATTAAAGGACAATAAATACAAAATAACTGTCTGCTTAGCTCTAACCCCCACCTATTTCTACTGTCATGACACCATTAAAAACCGAAAAATATTTGGGCTACTGAGAACTTGGGTTAATAATCTGATATGTAGATTTATAAAGATCAACGAATCGACTAACAGGAATCTGTCTGGTACACTGACATGAGGGATGCCTCTAAGACATACAATTCTACCTTATGTAGAGCTATTCCTATTATTATTCTTATAGTAAGTACTATTTAATACAACACTTATATAAAAAGCTCAATTTTATATATCATATAATCTAATAAAATTTTAAAAATATATCACTTTTAAGAGGAGGTCAGGTGATGAGGGCTCTGACCTCATGAGAGGACTAACTGTGTCACTGCAGGCCTAGGTTAGCTCTCTTGAGAGTGGCCTTGTCGTTAAGGTGAGGCCAGCTGTCTCTTGCCTGTCCTCACGTGTGCTTTGCTTCTACCAGGCCCTGCCTTCTGCCCTGCAACAACCACAGCCCTCCGCACATTCAGTGTCTCAGTCTTGGACTGCCCAGCCTGCAGGGCTGTACGAAATGCATTTTCTTTTCTTTATAAATCACTTGGTCTACAGAATTCTGCTAGAACAATACAAAAGGAAGAGGCAAGAGGAGCAGGTTAAACTACACCATGGAAATGCAACTGGCAAATCTTCACTGTGGAACCAGTGCTGGGAACTGTCTGCAGTGATGGAAATGACCTACGGCCTGTGACACAGGTGTGGCTTCTGGGCACTTGGAGTGTGACTAATATGCCTGTAAATGTGAAATACTATTTTATTTGACTTTAATTTCAGTTTAAATGATGA